TTTTAATTTTTAATTACACACAGTTAAAAGAATACCTTCCAGAATTTAAAATATGTGCCATCCAAGTTTTTATTCAACACTTCTTTTCTTACAAAACTTCTTCAGAAGATATGTTTTCAAAGTCTGTATAATGAATATCGAAAAAATACTGTGTGTGTGTGCACATATATATATATATATATATATATATATTAACTAGTTTCTTTTTTCTTTTTATGTACACACTTTCAAAAATTGAATAACTTGAATACCAATAACTTGAATAACCAATGTGTAAGACATATAATTAACTTCCAAATTTTTTATCAACTTTTTTGATGTGACTGAAAGAAATGAAAATAGATATAAATACACAATATATTACAAAATTTAATAAAAATTTGTAAATAGTTGAATATGAAGTTTTAATTTTGAAATTTTATCTCATAGCTGCATTTTTTAAATTTTGTTCATGTGATATTTGTGTAGAAGATCTAACAGTATTGCAAATTGTGTCAAAGTTAATCAAAAACAAGAATGTTACAAAACTTGAATTTGAGACTTATTGTATCACCAACTAGAAACAGAATGTCTCAGTTAATTCATTAAGAAAAAAAAAAAATGCACATGAAAACCAAAAAATTTGTAGAAGGCTTAATAATTTTAGGACGTTTTAAAATGATATATGAAGAAATCACATGCTTTGATATTAAAGTGCAACACTTAGGATCATCCTATGTCACAAGTTAATAGGCTTTCTTTTGTTTATATATTATAGTTTTTTACACCTAAATTGTACTATCTAGAAAGGTATCAAAGTAAAGAAAAGAAAGGATGGCATTTTCTTTTGTGACATAAAATTCACCTTTGAAACCACAATCACCCTAGTATTTGTCACCATAACAAGTTGGCAATAATACCATTAGCCCAGCCAAACCCTAACCCTAATTCCACTGCATGTTCCTGGATTGCACTATCCCCATGCATGTTTGGCACAAACCAAGCTTGAAATCCTAAATAGTTAAACCCTCCAACACTTACCCAAAAGAGACTTTCCTAATGGGGACAGTTAAGCCATTTTTTAAATTATTTCTTATTTATTTATTTCAATTTTTCAATATTTTTCCCATTCACAGTCTAGTAGCCAGGTTTTCAAAATTTCCATGGAGAGAGAATTCCTCAATGTTTGTGCACTTTCAAGGTCCATTTTCATGTTGTGGAAATAAGTGAATGATGTTGGTTTTCTAGAGATTTATGGAGTTCAATGCATGCTTGGTTAACAACTTTAGCTATATATATATATATATATATATATATATATAAAAGGAAGAAACAATGAATGAATGAATAATTAGATCAAAATTAGTTTTGATTTCCCGAATGCAGTTGAACCACCATGTAGGAGATTGGATTTGGCGTGTAATGGACATAAATAAATAAAAACTCTACAAGCTTGCAAAAATTGTGAAACTCCTAAAGTCAAAGTAGAGGATGGCATGACCCAAAGTCATTCAATTGATTCAGTTGAAAAGTAGGTTGTATCTTGTACATTTGAGCAATTAAACAAAACCTGCCAAGACAGTTTATTAAAGTATTTTACTTTCCACACAAATCATTTTGATGTTTCTGTTTGATGAACGAATATATATATATATATATATATGTTTACTTAAATTTGACAAAGTTAAAATAAAGAACAATATAAATTGAATTAGCACAAGAATCTATGAATATGTCATGGGTGGTAATTTATCATGATTAAAACATCAACTTACATTAACTTTTCTGTAAATAAATGTTTTATTTTTTTCTCTTTATTTAAAAAATTAATGTTTTTAAATTTTATATTTAACATATTTAGAGATTTCACAACAGGAATTCAGCTGTCAAGATTTTGAGAGTACTTATTTATTACATATTGAAAAGACAATGAGTAGCATTCAGTTATTTAGTTATTATTATTTTCTTTTTTCAATCCAAGTTCATCACATTGAATCAGACAATCAAGCAGTGTCCAGATTTTGAAGAATTCATATGACGATGTATACATATAAACCTGAAGAATTTTGAAAGATTCCATAATGCTTCAGAGTTTGAGCCTTGAACAAAAGCATCATTCATAACCAACCGCTCATAAATTCCTACCCTGATTTAGTTTCGAATTTATTCCACATTACCACAATCCATGCAAGACCCTGCAAATGGCAACCCATTCTTTCACCTTAACGGCTTTAATGCAGCACCTTTTTATGGCTTCCATCAAATTAATACACTTTTCACAATTAAATTCCTTTAGTTGCTGATTAGCAAGGTTGCTTGCACATTAAAGACCCCATAACAAACGAATGATTAAAGGAGCACTAGCTATGTATGAACTCCACCCCTCTCATCTACCCATTTCTAAGCTTTCACATCATCAACACTTACAAGTGGGATGCATCATCTTAATGAAGTTCATAACACTCCACTCAAACTTTAGTAAGGTGTTCTTGTCACTCACTAATTCACGCACTCACTCTTTCTCATATATATATATATATATATATAGATATTTTATTCATTTATTTATACATGCACTGGATTCCATCATAAAAATTAGTTCGACGTCAAGTTTCAGGATGCTCATTGTTTTTAAGAATCGATGAGCTGATTCTTAAAAACAATGAATAAATGTGCTGATTCAAGACCCATGTTGGAATAGCCTTGTTACTGATTTTCGTCTTGCAAAATCTATGTAGATCATGAATTTCGACTATTGTGATTCTTTACTGGAATGGTGTGGGTATTCAACTCGCAGTACATTAGATTTGTATAAGAGTCTCTGAATGAGGGAGACGACAATCCTGCTCAAATTGAACCACCAAGTTCCGCAGTTGGCTCCAGTACTTAAAAATCCACTTCGCTGCAAGGTTCACTTACAGCCTCTGATCAAGTTGAGGAAACCTCTCTACCTTAACCCAGACTCGTGTCGCTTCGAAAAGACTTACCTTCACAGATCTCGCCGTGAAGGACACAATCTGCACCATGTGATTCAATCCGTCGACGATGCCGCAGCATTTTCTGGTTATGTTTTTGCAGGGCTTTGACCCGATAGGAAAGGTCGAATGCGTGAACATAATGGACTGATCGACCTTCAGTCGATCAGTTGCGATCCTAAAACTAGAAAGATCCTTACGGTCGGAAGACAAGCGATGTGCTTCATTGAGGCCTACTGTGCTCAGACCACCTATCTTGCATGGTCCGATTGACTCGATCTGCCCAGATTACGTTCCCGAGCTCGCCGAAATCACTGCAGCTTGCCTGCTCAGATACTCCCGAAACTGCAGCAAGCTGTGCAGCGCTTGTGATTACATGGTTCATGAACATTAGCTCTACCTGCAAAGGCTATTGGGATGTCGGGTGTGTGTGTGTTTGTGTGTACAGGAGCTTCACAGCTGCTTTTGCCAACAGCGTGTGATTAATGTCGAAGACCTCAAAACGAGTGCCTCGTAATTGATCCTTTTACCTCTTATAACAAACTTTTTTCATATTTTGTTTCGTAGTGAGGTAGGGCTTTTTACTCTTTGTGTTTTCTGCAAAAATCCTTCATCAAATAATGTGAATGTGCTCTCCATCTGGTTACTTTCTTGAAGGGATGCTCGTCAAAACAGAACCAGACTTATTTTTAGGGCATCCAATCATTAGTGCTCATTGAATGTTCTGTATGTTTTTTACTCCTCTCTGCACTATACGGTTTTACTTTATTTTATTGTTAATATAGTTTTCACGATCACTGTGCAATCTCAATTTTCAAGATGTATGTCGAATAAACAAAAATATACTGAGAATCAAAATGTATTAACAACAAAGATCGGAGGGGGGGAAGGGTTCTGTGAAGTGTGCATATGATATGATTGGGTATGGAGGTAAATTCAATACAAGTTTGAATTAACCTTCACACCCAGTCAAAACGACCAATGGATAGAGAACCATTCACGATGCGAACAAAAAAAACAAATAATTATGCATTTCAGAAAAGAAAACGTGGACGAATGAACTATGATTTCAAGTTGCCTTCAAAACGTAGCTCTCCGAGCTTTTAAAGGATTCCGTTTCAATCCGTCCTCATTTACATCAACTGGCTTAGAATTCAAACACGATCTTCAGGATAAATTTCGAGGCCAAAAATGTTGTCCACACCAGAACGATGCAAGTTTCGTGCCCTTAGGGGAAAATAAATAAATAAATATATCACCGAGTTTACCCTAAAAATTGGATTGGTCCTTTGGGAGGGAGGGTAACTCAACCAATGACAACAAGGGGGGGCTAGAGGAGTGGTCATGGCTCCCCAAACAAACTCCACCACAACTAAAACGAAGATAGAAACTGGGAAGTGCTGACGAAGGGAAACACAAAAAGGACGAAGAAGAATAACGGCGTCCCAACCAAGGCAGACTGACGAAGAAGGGGTTTGAAACCGGGGGAAAGTCGCAGAAATTCCACGCCAGAAAGGTCCCAGATCTCCACATTTAGCAGCTGCCGAAATCTTGACCCGGTCAATTAGGAGCAGCGACGCCGTTGTCCCATCAGCTGCTAAATTTAGCGGCGTGTCTGCAGCGGGTTGGGGCCATGGATGCTCTCCTCGTCGCCGACGGTGCCAGTGGCTATGGCCAGCGAGCAGCGTCCGTGTATTGCCTATGCAGCGCAACAATCCCCACTGATTGTCGAGATCCAGCCATCTGGGGCACATTCTGCCGTTGCTACTCCCTCACTGCCAGCGTTGTTGCAACAATCAGCTCATCTCGAGTTCACTTTCGTGGTAGGGAGTGTGTGTCTGTGTGTGTCTGTGTATGTGTGTATTGTTTGGGTAAGTGGCGTGTGGTCGTGGTATGCGTTTTGGAACTGTAGGAAACTTGGGTGGGTTCGCCAGCACGCCGAGATGCAAGCTGTTGACGGTGAGATACTATGGCGATTGAATTGAGCACGGGTGGATTAGGCATCGAGAGACGGCGGAGAAGGGCGGTTGAGTATGCCAGGTGAGGAGTGCTGGGGCTCACGCATTGATGGAGACCGGCGTCGATGTGGTGCTGTTAGAATTTTGGGTTATAGAAAGTGGGCGGTGCGTTTTCGATGGGACTGTGGGTGCTCCGCGTTTTGGGTTTGCGTGAGGATGGGAGATGGCGGTAACCTGGACGAATGAGCAGTTCTTGGGCCCAACTCCGGTGGCTGTGTTGCTTCTTTTGACTTTTGGGCTTAGTCAGAAAAAAGTAGAAAAAGAAGCAAAAATAGAAAAAATAGACTCCAGGTTGCTAGGCAGTCGTTTGTTGAGTTGCGGGTGGAACAGGCGGTCTCAGAGCATTAGATTGTGCCCTGGTACTTGTTACTGTGGCGATTCGGGCGGGGTGAAAACCTTCGAGTCATGGCTTTTTGGAGGTGTGTGTATAGGCTTTTGATAGTCTTTCTGTCGATTCCCAAGGTGTTAGTGGGTCTTTCGCAGGCGTGGCCTCGATTTTCTTCTGTTCAAACTTTCGTCTACTGCTGCTGGTAGTTTGATTGTTAGGGGGTGTGAGAAGTGGCGCTCGCAAGTTCCGTAGAAAGAATGTTCTGGGATTTTCCTTGCCGGGGTCCGTATGAATGATGTTCGATAAGAGCCATGTGTGCTCTGGCGAAGTCTCTAGCGCTGTAACTCGGGTGACTTCGCAGTCTACTGAAACTTTCTTACAAAATGGTGTGAATGAAGAAGTCCGCAAGTTTATTCAGGTGAAGACTCTGTCTGTTCTCTTTGACAACTCTACCCATCAATTGAAGATGAATACGAAATGGTTGTCGCACTTATCCTCAATTGAACGGCTTCCATTCCGACTAATCCGGAAATCTTTAGGAGAGTATTAGGGAGGATTCAATGAAGGATTAATTCGGATTTTCAAAATCTTGCGGAGGTTTTGGTCCCCGAAAGAACTTAGCGGGTAGCGGGTTGCTACTTTACGACGAGGTTCATTTTCATTAGATAGGTTAATATCCCTCTGTCGAGAGGGCTGCAAGCTGATGAAGAGATGATTGTGGGTCAACTTCGTTACAATTTGTTCCAGGAGTAATTAGGTCAGCAGATCCACAAGACTACCTGGTTATCGCAATGGTTTCGGTAATGTAACTCCGACTGGTGATTAGATGAACTCTCCTTTGGTCCATTTAAGTCTGCTTTGAGTGCAACGTGCAAATTGGGAAGATTGCAAAGTCTCCATATTTGAATTCGAGTCGTGGCTTTTCAGTTTCGGAACCGTGCACACCCCGAGAGTTCTCGATAACTGGTCGGAGGCTTTGACATAAATCTGGAAGGTTCCAGACGAGATTTCCTTTAGATCATCAATTTCTCTTTGTGATGTAATATGCGTCGTCCTGAAATCTGTAGGAACAGAGGCTTTAAGTGTACCTTCTGCATGCTACTTGTTACTACCATGGTGCACTGATGACTACTTTAAGGTAACTGAAGTTTGCATTCAGATCGTGGCAATGCAACGAATTCTTCTGAAATACAAATCTTTCGTCGTCATCGTTGTGGGTTGCCAAACAGTATTGCTCACAAAAGCCTTCATGTGTTGGCTTGTTTCCAGATATTGAGACACGTTGAAATTTTGAAACGATGAAAGAGACTGATGTAAGCGCGGATGAAGCAGAATTTAGGACGTCTGAACTCAACTTGGACGAATTTACGGGTACAGAACCTGGTCTCTCGACAAGCATGAGATGCTGGGAAGGGGAAGTGGAAGTAGAAGACCGGTGGGGGATAGGGTCGCCATCAACGAGGCCATATAGTCGGTCTCCACATGATGCATTCCAAAATCTAGAAAGGTTCAAATCAAGGCATCGTACATCGCGCAGGATTCATCGTGCAGGCCGAAGAATATTCTCATGCTTTCGGCACAGCACTATTAACCTGGTGAGAATTCTCAATGATTTTCTTTAGTGTCCAGACGAAAGGAGAGAGGAATGGAAAGAGGGGTGGAATGCCCCTAGCAGCTTCATAATCATGACTGTCAAAGTCAATAATTCATTGTTTTGGTCACGCAATACCTGCATATTGTTTTCTAATGTGGGAATCAGTTACCCGACGTCGTCTTGGTTTGATTTCAAGTTGAAAGGTGGTGCATGTCAAATCTCCTCTATTTTTTATTTTTGTCTTGAGAGGTCAGTATATGACACGCATCAGTGGCACACCAGTCTGCCGCGTGTATTTTAGAATATAGGCAGAATGCAGAAATTAACTTATGAATAGTGTGTCGACTATCTACATGCTTCATCCGCATCAAAGAAAATGCGTTCATTAGACTCTGTATTTAAACTTGGTGTGCAATGATGTTAACGTTTTTGGTCTTCTTGGATGGTAGACGGTGCCAGATTTGGAACCAAGCACACCGCCCAGAAGTGGACCTCTAATAGCACCGCGCACGAGTGTCAGCGGTGCAAATGGCCTAACCTTTATGGACGTTGCTATTGATCGTCACCATCACACTGAGGACGAACAAACGGATGCTGTTGAGCCAACCTCTCCAGTTGTGAACTGCATGGGACAGGTTGGTAGCTCTTAAAGCTGGCTGTGTCTTAGTCTCCCGACTACTCTCGTAGCGTGTTGTGTTTCTGTATAGTACTTGAAGTTTCCGGATGTTGGCTATTGCTGGGTGCTTAATTGTGTCGTGATATACAGGTAAAATCAAAGAAAACGCTAAAACAGTGTAGAAGAAGTGAGGCGGCGAGGGAGAGAACCAATCTAGAGAAATTGCGGCGGACAAAGTCTCAAACTTCAGATTCACCCCCATGTGCTGCTAAAGCCAAGGTATTCAAGTGGAAACATCTCTTGCGGTCTTCATCAAGTTCCATAAGTCCAAGCAATCATCCACCGTGTGAGGGAGAGATTGACTTGGGCCGGTTCAGCTCCGCAAGCGGAACTTCAGAGCCCTTCGGAACCCTCTCTGCTGAGAAACGGCGAGATAAAACCTGTCTGTTAATGCAAAGGAATTGTGGACGAACCATCCCCACTGGAAGAGACGGAGGTGACAACACTCTCAAGCTCTTGCAAGAACAACTTGATGCAGGAAATTCTGGCGACGTTGTTGAAGTTGTACAGCAAGAAGCCGCAGCCCAACGTAAACCAGTTTCCAGAAAGCTTCGGAACTCGAAAGCAATCCAAATCGAATCCCCAAAGTGGTTTGCGGACGAGGTACAGCTTCGTAGACGGCAGGGAGTACTTAATCCGAATCCAATGCTCGACTCCCAGACCTCCTCCACACCTCCGTGAAGCACATAACGAGCCTTTTGTGCGACAGATAAAATGGAAGCCATGATGAATAAGTTGCACTATGCTCACCATCGGAAAGCAGGGTCAGCGAGACAGAAAAAGGAAAAAAGAAAACATCACTGACGAACAGCCGAAACTTCAAAATGTCGATGTTCCTATCGCGAAACGGGAGGGTCTGCCACAAGAGTACAAACTCTCTGAGGATGCTCCCAGAATATATGACGAGGCACCGACTGACCTTTGTTACACTAGTCCCAAGTGTTTCGGCCAACTCATCTTGTGCTGACTCATTTGTGTATATGTAGAATACTTCTCCCAACTCCCGTTTTGTGACACTACTTGTAGGATTTTTTCTGACGCCATTTAGTCAGATATAAGGGAACCCACCAATCTAGCTGTCGTCTTCCTGAGATGGACGTCTCCTTCCCGCAAGAGACCAGGTCAGACACGCGAACTGTTGAGATGGGTATTTTCAGAGACTCATGACCTGACTCTAAGTTGAACGTGCCAAGCAAATGTATTCATCTTGTGCGGGGGTCATATTTTCGCACATGAAGTGCACAACTAGCTTGTTCTAAATCTTATGTGGAAACCCAAATCTTGACTTGTGCGGAAGGTAATCGAAGTGTTGCATGTGCATCGTTTCGTTATCAAATGTGCGTTATACAAAGTATTCAATGAAAGAAATTAATGTCTGCATAAAAACTTTAATAGTTGTCATTTGACACACTAAAAATATCTTACTTTAAAACATGAGTTAACAGTCCATGTAAATCCATACTTCATTGGAATCTATAAAACCAAAAGAATATTACCTCAAAATCGTAAAAGGATTAAAAAATTGCAACATAGATTTCAACTTGAAAAATTATTTCAGCTTATATACTCTGTAATTTGAAAGATGTTTTCAAAAAAACTTACACGAAATCGATTTTAAATGTATTAAAAAACTCTCTATTCAAGTTTTTAAATTGCATTTGATATTATTTAAACATCTATAGAACAGAATGCAAAATCACTCAAAAGTAAAAGTTACCATGCGGATGTTTTTATTAACATCCATTTACAGACCATCGATGTTTTCAAATCCCTTCCAAATTATCAAAAACAGAAACAAGTTGAAACAACTTTTCCAAACAACTTTGGCAAGTATGACAAATCTCCCAGCAGGTGTTGACCTCTAAGAATTTTTAAAAGCATCACTCATCCACCATTATTATCAAGCCAAACTATCCCTACCAAAAAAACACACTCATTACAAAAATTATTTGGATTTTTATACACACAAGAATCTGGTTCCATGCGTGACTTCGTGAAAGTATTTCAACTTGTTAAAGTAAATCAACGTCAAATTTTTTGTTGTGCTAAAGACGAAAAAACATAGATGGATATATATAATCTAATTGCTGTATATTTAGGTTGTTTTTGCATGAAGGCATTCAAGGCTGTAGCCATCCGATGAGAACGAGACGGGCATCGTTTGAATTTTATGTGCATCCCAAGACGTGGAATCGGCAGTCATTTCGGAGCAACCTTCGAGGTGGGGTCCCAATGGATCCCACTCTGACTCTGCGACAGACCCACATTTCATGAGACTCGTCGTCCCTGCAACGTTTCCACAATCTAGTGTGATTGATGGGGACGAGATGATGCTCAACGGCAGGGTTGGATTATTTGTTTGAGCAAAAATAATGTAATGTGGACGAGCATGAGTTTCCGGGTTGCCGAAGATGGGGAACGATTTGCCTCGACTGTGGTGGGGAGCATCAATTTTAGAGTTACGAAAACCCAGAGGCTTTCACTCGTGTCAGGTATATCGATTACATCGCCTGTCGACTATTCTAGGGCCTCGCAAAATGAAAAGCAGGACGCAAGCTACCGCTTCTTCACATGCATTTTCTGAACGTGGAAACTTTTGTATGTTTCTTATGCAAAGAATCTGACTTGGTACTATGAGAGGGATTCTGGATAATTTTAGCGTGTATGTTTCTCTTCGAACTACGGAGACCCAGAAACTGCAAAGAAAGTAATCCTAGGCTTGATGTTTCTTCCGTTGGCATTACCAAAACGTGCGAGCAGGCCAAAACCTAGAATCGATTTAGGATTCAAATAGGAATCTGATGTGTGTCAGTACTACCTAAACAATGCTTGTGAAGAGTGTGGAAACTATGAATTCCAGTGCAGTTGGCTGTATACAACTAACTTACAAGCTGTGGTGCATCTGTTGTGTGGCAAGACAACTATCATAGCAGCATCAACAGGTGATTCTCTTACGAACCTCCTCATACAATCTTCATCTAACCATCAGTTTGTGCAGCTCGGTGCATTACCCTTTATAGACAGAAATCCTCAAGTACTGGTGCAGGACTGATCACTTGACGGATGTGGCTACAACGGACTTGTTCGGTGCTTTCGGAATTGCAAACAACCGATGGCTGTGGTTTAGGATACAGTGTGCTCTGGATTCTGTAGTTTAGAGTTTGTAGATTATGTTTGTGGTTAACTGACACGAGCAGCTCATGTTGTCCTGGCACATTTGCTTTCTGTTTGCATGAACTACTACTTTTAACGTTAAAAGGGTTTGTGGAAATAGGGTTTGTTGTATGTAGCATGATTAGATAACATTGAGTTGACGTTGAGCTTCACCAGACCTAATTAAGATTAATTTATGCCGTGATCTTGTGTATCTCTCTTTGGTTACAATATGGCCTAAATGCATTCTAATCCTAATCATAAAATCTTATAGGAACACCAATATGGTTTGTTTTTAAAATTTGGGAGCCTATTTCTGTACAAAAGTACAGAGTTTTAAGCGTGCTTGTTGAGGTTACATAGGTGTTGATTGTGTAGTAGTTTGACACAAATGTTTTGTAAAAATAGATTTTTTTTGTTCTTGATAAAGGCAATGTTAATGATCTCGTATAAAAAAAAATTCAAGAGATAAACTAGAGGAGACAAAAACCATCTTTTATTGGGTGCATCTCTCATTGTTTTCATCAAATGTGAAGTAAAAGTTTACAAATTTACAAGGCTTTAACAACACATATGATTCACTTCTACCTCAAAAAAAGATCTTTATACTTGAGATCATTTGGTGTTGTGAAGTTTGTATCTACTTTCAAAATTAAATAGATTGAATGTATTTTATGTAAATGAAACATAGTGCCTATTGGATTTTCTTTATTTGCCATCAATTAAAAGTCATAGACATTGATAATGTGAGTTGTAGTATGATATCCACCAAGGAAAACAATTGTGATGATTTACAAAGGACTAATGCATATTTTTATACTTTTGTATACTTATCTTAGGTTCCACAATAATAAGCATGAAGAGCCAGGAGAGAAATTAGTATTTTAGAATTTTGATGATCATGAAAGAAGTGCTAGAGTTGTTGTGCAATTTACTTCTCTTTGCATAATATTTTGGATTACATTTTTAAGTCTATTTGATCTAGAAAGTTGAGGTCTTAATATTGACAAACTCAACTTTTTGATGTAATTTAAAATGTTGATTTTCATCAAATCTGAATAATATACCTAGGAATTAAGCCAAATATAAAATTGAATAATATGAATCTGTCTAAAACACACTTCAAGAGTGCTTTAAATACAAGTTGGTTCTTTATGCCATTTTATAACTTTTACAATTTATAATTTTTTTGCAGTTACATGAGGAGTTATAATATGCTTTGAAGCTTGTGATAATAGCATAGACATGACAAGAGCTTACATCAGAGATGATCAAATCAACTTTAATAGGATCAATTCCTAGACAACTTCTCCTTTTGTATATGACACCAACACTACTTTCTAACACCAAAGAAATACATGCTTTGCAAACCTCTCAATCAACAACATTGCCAAGCAAATTTTCTACTTTCAACTTTGTACCTTTGAAGATTCTTCAAGGCCTATTATTCTATAGCTAGATTTTTGAAAATACTTTCTCACATTATTAATAATTTAATATAGATATTTTGTAAAAATTAGAAATATTCTTTTTGCTTCATGAAATTATGTACCTTTATAAGTTGTAGTTGTCTTTAATAAAAGATAATTCACATGATATTATTTTTTTCATTATTTTTACTTCGTTTAATTTTTATTTCAAAGCAAGGACTTTTATATATTATTACAATAAAAATAAATATTTTTAGAAATTAAAAAAGAGATATTCTTATATATAAAATTATATTATTGATATATCATACATAAATTGAATTCTAACATAAAATTAAAGAATTATAAACATTAGTTATATTGTACCAATTGATGAACTAATAAACATAAATAATTAATCATATTAAATAAAAAACATATTATATTAGTTTAAAAGATAAGTTTTTAAAATATGTTACATTAGAAAATTTTAATTTTTTTTATAATTTCATTTTTAAAATTGCTTTAAATATATCTATAGTAAATAATGATTTAAATGATTAGTGACTCAAAGAAATTTAAACAATATGTTTAAAGACAGAAACTAATGAATATATAATTCAGATTTTATTTTTTACATCCTAATTTAATTAGTTATAAATTCTATTCTTAATCATCAAAAAATAGTTTTTTATATATCACAATGAAATTAATTATATATATATATATATATATATATAGAAAGATATATAAATCTTTTAGATATTTTAAAAGACTTTTGTATATGTCTTTTTTATCTTTTTATCTTTTGGTCAAATAAATATTTATAAAATAATTATTATATAATTCAAATATTAATATTATGGTTAGATGCAAATAAATATTCAGTTAATAATAAAATTAGATCCATGATTAAAATCTGATTTTTTTTATTGACTCTAAGTATTAGCAAATATTTATTAATTTAATCATATATTATATAAAAATTATGTATACTCAAATAATTATGTGGAATTAATTAATCAAATATAAAAACAAATTACAAGAATAAATAATTTAAAATAAATAAATATAATGAAAAATACAAATTAATTCTACTACATAATAATTTAAATAAGAAATAAAATAAAAAAATACAAAGTTATAAAATTCATAATATACATGCTATTAAATGCTGAAATAATAAAAAAACAATTATATATATATATATATATATATATATATATTTATATTTATATATATATATATATATAATAAATCATAAAATCCTTTTAGATTATTTAAAAGCATGTTTGTAGATCAATTAAAACATGTTTCTAACTCTTTTTTTAAACGTAATTAAAATAATTGAATAAAATTAAAATTTTCTTATTATAAAAAAAATTATTAAATTTTTAAAATATATATATCCACTTAGAATAATAATAAGAATTTTAACTTTAGAGCATTTAATTTTTTGAGACCAAATTTGAAATTACTAAACATATAAATAAGCAAACTTAAAAATACAATCATTTATATTTATATCTATATAATTTAAAAATATAGAATATATATATATATATATATATATATATATATCAAAAATTTAGTAAGTCAATGAAAAATTAATATAAAACTTCTAACCTACAAGTGGATTATGTTGCATTTCTAAACAAATACAATTAGCTTAAAGTGTGGTGTAATAAAAAATTAGAAAATTAATTGCTGATATAAGGTATAGATTTCAATTTATTTTATTTTATTTTATTTTTTA